TTGGAGAGTTTAAGGGCCCATGGGAATGAAAGATGGAAGGGCGCACGGTAAGGGACGCGCTTTACGAGGCTTATTTCGGGCGAAGCGTTTCGCTCGCAAATCGGCCGCGCAAACGTCCGAGCACGAACTCCGCTTTTAATGCTAATAAAAACCCCGAGCGCGAGCATAATGATCCCTTGCCCTCTCTCTGTCTCTCTCTCTCTCTCTCTTTCGCACTCGCTCACTCTTTCGGGTGACCCGCCGCCGTGCGAGTTCGCGCGATCGCGCTTCCCGAGCGCAGCTGCTCTCGCGACCTCGATCGACGTTACTGCCGAAGAAACAGTGAGCCCCGGCGCGCGAAATTACGCAATCTTCGTTTTACGGCCAAAAACTCGCTATCCGGCATTACGTTCTCGAAGAGAGTTATACGCGTAATACGCAGGGGAGGGGGGAGGGGTTACCGTTCGCGTGAGTACGCCTTCCGATTTTCCCGGCGCAATCTTACGTTTTAATTCTCGACGTTACGTCATTCTCCGCGACTCAAGTCCTCGCGAGATGCAATTGAGCGCAACTTAGTCTGTAAAATGCGATCTTCTTACCGTTTTATTACTTTCGTTTCCTCCTTTTTTTTTTAGAGAGTTGTCCTCTTGGAATTCTCCAAGCAAGAGTCGAGTAATTTATTTAAAGGAAGGAATAGAAGTGCGCGCGGTGTCTTTGTGAAAAACTGTAAACAATTCTTGCTTGCTGTGTGTTAAATTTTAACGATCGCACGAACGTCTTTTTAGTATCGGGCTGATTTTACGAGGACGGAAGTTGTTCTACTTTTTCGCGACGGTGTGTATCTCATGTACATTTAATTCCTCGAATTGACGACTCGCTTGTGCTGCAAATTTCGACGCAAATGGAGAATTCTATTTGGGAACATCACGAGTTTAAGCACTAATCGAGGTCGCATAAGTTTCGAACGTATAGTAACGGCGAATGAATGGAAATGGAGGGTGAATCGGATTTTAAATTAGAAACTACCTCACTAACTCACTTCCACTCTCTTCAACTTCCTCCACTAGCTCTTCTGTTTCCGAAGAAGTAGTTTCTTCTGTGTTCAGTCACTATACTTCCCTTAACGTGAGAAAATGAGAGGGAGAGAGAGAGAAGGAGAGGAGAAGGAGAGAGCAAGGGAGTTTCTAACTGCAATTCGGTTCCATTTATACATGTTACTGAAATTTGCACTTGAAAAGGTGAGAATCGATAGCAAGGGTTTATCTTCTGGTGACTTTGGTGACAATTTGACCTCGGCGGAAATTGGAATAATTCCCGTCATCTTTTAATTTCTAACGTTAATTGTTCGCTTCTTGACTGAGAAATGCCCGAAGTGAATTCCCCCCGCGGGATAGATATAAAATCACGCGATATGAAAAATACACGCACAATTAAATAGGAAGCGCAGTTTCCCGTTGAATTACATTTTCCGAAGTAATATTTTCATTTTCACGATGGAAATGTTGATCGCAGATTTACTAAAGAATACATCTATATTACTGATCGCCCGATACCCGATACAAACTGACGCAGTGTAACCATTTCCAGAAAGATTTTTGCAATTTGATTTACATAGCTTTCGAAATAAACGACTCAGTTTTGTATCGCGTAAGCGCGCGCGCGTGCGCGCACACACGTTTAATGTGTAAAACGCAGCACGTTTTTGCAGTTTATTTAATATGCGAATAGATTACCATCGAATGCAATACGTGTAATGTGTGTGAGCTCACCGCGGAAAACAAAAGCCGTGATATGGTATTTCGCGCAAAAACACGCGCGCGGACAGGTCGAGAGCGTAACAAAAACAGAAATAAAAAAGGAAGAAAAAAAGCAATAATAATCGCGACAGAACGCGATGTTCCCGATTAACGTACCGATTAATCCAGTCGTTACACGTCGCACAATAAACACGCCGCGTTGAGTCCCAGTAGACATCGCAGCGAGGTTGGCGCTTGCTCTCTTTTCCTGCTTTCTATCCCAACACTCAGGTGAGCTCACGAGTGTTCACTTATACATTCCGGAGAGTTGCTCGCGAAAAAGGGGCTTGATCCTATCTTCCGCGAAAGCCTTTCGCTTCAACGATCTCCCCCGTGCGCGAAACGCATTAATTGTCAGGCGGCTGCGCGAGAGCCCGCGGAATTCCCGTCTCGCGTTAAATGTAAATCGGATTTCCGACTAACCGGCGCAAATTACTTTTCGCGAGCCGACCCTGATACGGTTAAACTGGCGCGCGCGTCTGCGCTTATGCAAATCGGCGCTTTGTGTCGCGCCGCTTAAAGCTAATTATTACGGCGCCGACCGACCGTCGGGCGGTTTTCAAACCGCCAAGAAAGCCCGAGAGCACGCGCCGCGAGAAGTGTTACGGTAAATACGCTCTTAAATGGCTAAACTGTTGCGCTCGCGACGAATTGAATTTTCGTGGGACGCGTTCTTGCGTGACATCGACGACGCGATTTTACACATCGAGGAACGAGTCCACGAACTAGCGAGGCATACGCGAAGTTACGCGCTCCTTGCGATTATTCGTCTTCCTTGTCAATTCTCCGCGATTACACTCCGCAAGATTGTCGCAATCGATCAGAACAAGAGAAGATATATAATCTTTGATACATTTTTATTGGCTCTCACTCGGCATATTCAAGAGATAACGAGTGATTTTATAGCATTAGTATTTATAGCTCTATTGCAAGTTATCTAAATAAATATAGAGAAACTACACATAGAAAAACTACAATATAGAGAGAACAATGTAGTCTTTTTTTAATATAAATTTTTTTAAATTTTATCATGTTTTTAATTGTCTAAGAAAATAAACTGTTAGTAAGATCTAACTTGTTAAGAAATATTATATATAAAATTTTGTTAGAAACAAGTGTTTTAACCCGTGACTGGTATTTCTTTCCCTTTAAATCTTTGTACTAAGAATTGTTTTCTATTAGCTATTATTAAATTTCAATATCCCGCAGGATCATGAGAAATTATAAAATTCAAGAAATTATAAAAGTACAACGAAAAAAGAAGAAAATAGTTCACCAGATTTCACCATATCAGTTACGGGTTAATAGTAATACATTTTAGTTCCTAGATATAAGTGGCATGTATGAAATAAAAGGATAGAGAATAAATTACTGCAGAAGGTCGATATATTTTTCGGTTACAAAGTTCTGTAGTAATTCTTACTATAAAATTTTTTCTCTTCGTGTACAACTAAATATAACAAATTTCCATTTGATGCTAGTTCAATGAAAAAATATATATATATATTTGTATGAATAATATTATATTGTCTAATAATGATGGAGGCATTTGACATGCACCGAGGTCGGTATCATAACAGCAATGTATACAGGAATAAATCCGCGCGATCATACATCGATATGGATAAAACGAAGCGAGGGATGCTCACAGCGCCCTGACATTTTTCCTGCTCTCTTGTTCGCGCGACTTACTTCGCGTGAAAACTCACATAAAACGCCAAAGAACGAAAATCTCGATACGTTCACAAGAAGACGCTCGCGAGAGAGCGCATTCGCGCGATGTCGAGGGCGATGAATCGAAAGGCGACGACGTATCGGCCTGGAAAATATTTCTTTGTCCGCGAGAATCCGTAGAGAAATCCACGCGAGAATATTTTTACACCGTTAACGACAGCTCGCCGTAAATTTGGCTCTTTATAAAGTAATGAGGAGAGAAGGGATGTGCCGAGAAGCGCATTTTCTTGTCGCGTTTGGCGCCCAAGTGAACGGCGAGAGTGACATACGCATTGCGGATAACTTGGCCGTGTCTGCGACATTATTCCTCCATTTACGTTCGCGAGTCGTCGCGTGACGCGCCGGAGTATCCACTTTGCTCCAAGCAGGCCGTGGACGTAAAAGTAGAGTACGTCTCAAATCAGATATGAAAAGTTCTCAAACTGACTCGCGCGCACAGTCGTCATCGGCGTGTACGATCTTAGCTCGACCACCGATTACCGCCACACTCGTTAAGTTTCCGGAAAATGGAAAGTTTATTAAGAGTGCAGTAATGTCTCTTCGTTTCTGTAAATTTCGCGCGCTATACGTACGAGCGAAGTGCCGCGAACAATGCGCTTTTCTGCAGGTACTTAGTTTTTCAGGCCGCAGAAAATCAGAAAATATGTGCATATTTTGCTACACTTCTCGATTTGCAAATATAACAAATATTCGGATGAAAAAGCTTATTGTGATTACCCGCCGTTTGTGCATCAATGTGTCAATATATTTATTAATAATTTCACTTTGAGAAAAAAAGATTTAAAAGTTTATTTGTGGAATATAAAGTTTATTCACTGAAATAGACTTTACGTGCCACAAATAAATTTTCAAATATTTTTTCTCAGTGCATTAGCAGAATATTTTTGCAATGTTCAGGAATTCTTCTCTTATAATAATTTTTTATTGAAGATATACACACACGGAACACAAATTTTGGCTAAATAATATTAATTTAGAAGCCATATACACAAGACACGACATCTCTGCCAAAGTAATAGATCTTTGTGTACGATAACGTGATGATAATCGGTGATTCTTCGTAGGACAGTAATAATGTGTTTACTAGAATTTCTGCGTGTCTCTTTCGGTTATTACTTCTTCCCATCGTTTATAACAGAGAAGACTATATACACTCTGATCGTACTGACGGTAAGGAATTGTTGATGTTATGGCTTATGCTTAAACGTATAACGAAATCCGTTATCAAGGAGAATGGCTGCGTTTAGCAGAGAAAGCTGCTTTGCAACTGTTGTAAAATTCGTGAATCTGATTAGTACATGCTCTTGGATTCAACCAAAATTAAGAGCATACTCTAATCAGATTCACGAATCTTACAACAGTTGCAAAGCAGCTTTCTCTGCTGCCAATGTCGCGAATAATGATGATTCGCAATAAATACTAGTACTTAAAATGCACAGAGGAAGATATATACATTAGACGGAATGATTAATCAATAAAAAGTAAAATAACTGTAGCTAAAAATAATATTCTTTATTAAGAACTTATATAATCTAATCATAAAAACGAGATATCTTTTATATTGTCTGCGATCATGTCACAAAAGTGACAATACAATCATATACGAGATATACAGTCATATACCAATCTAATATACTAATCCAAGATACTAATCTTAGATACTAATCTATAAAGGTAAATTATATTACTTAATTATATTACTACTTAATTATACTACATAAATTTTTGTAAAATATTATATACTTGTTACGATAATATATATTATTATAATCAGTCGCTAATATGCTTCTATGCGGAGCATATCCGCAGAAAATATTTTTTATTTCAAGCTGAGGTAATAGATATTCATTTAGAACTGTTCGTATGTTAAGTTCTTGAGAGAACGCGTTACTTTTGCTGGAACTGGTTAAAAGTAATGGATATTGTCGAGTCTGTAGTGCTCTTATAGTTTTCGACCATATCTTCTCCTCGAATTTTACTTGAAATCCTACGACCACGTCTGGTAGTTTACAGTAGCGACTGAATAAATAATCGTAGTACGGTGCAGAAATAACAGTAAAACCAAGTTCCTTTTTCTCACGTTTGCAAGATTCACAAAGTTCATGTGTATTAAACAGTTCATCCTTTAATTGCAGTCCTATCATAACAATTATTAATTTCCTTAAGTCAGGTAGACAGTGTAATAATATCTCCCAAGCTGACAGACTGCTTCTATCTATAGAGTCTGCGGCTATAATGTGAATTATAATACATTTGTTTTGTAAAATATATGAACAATTTGTTTTCTTTATTGCATAATAAAATGTTAGCGGTTCTGAAATATAATCAGAGATGACATAGTCATCGACGGTCCAATCGATACTTTGTCTTGCCAATACAAATGCCGAAAGTAATTGAAATGTGTCAAAACATAGCAAATCTTTATTCAAACACGCAATAAAGTCTCGCAATATTCTAGCTGGACGGTCTGTTATAGTTGCAATACTTATGTCAAGTGATAGCTTCAGTTCCTTACAAATTAACTTATGTTTCTCATAAAAATCTTGTACATGTCTCTGGCAATAATAGGCAGAAAAGCATTTTGTGCAGGAACGCAACGTTTGCGTTGTTTTACAACAAAGACACGATTTTATATACATGAACATTTGCATCTCATACGGCTCCAAATCGCGGTCCAACTTCTGCTTGGTTGTGATTATTATCTTGTTTCTTTCTTTAAGATCTGATAATTGAATTTGCAGTTTTGGAAACTTTGTTATAATATCGCACATTTCCTTATGTTGCGATTTGTGTATTATTTCGTGACTTCTGCTGCAGTACGAAATTATGCGGCACTGATTACAAAGTATCAAATTATCGTACTTGCTTCTTGATTTACAAATGTGACAAATGTTTGGATGGAAAAACTGATTGTAATACTTAGGCAGAAGTGGTCCTCTATATTGAATTATTTCTTTGTTTGCATCCATATCGATATATCTGTTTAATAAACTTTACGAATACTTTGCTTGTAATGTCACCTTAAAAAAACTTGACACTTTAATGGATAAAATAGGATTCCGTATATGTGAGTTCTTTAGGGACATTTACTTGGTGATTGCCCAAGACACACTATTAGAATATGTCTTCTGAGTGATTGCCCAAGACACACTATTAGAATATGTCTTCCTGAGTGTCTCAGGAATTATCGACAATTCGAAATATCGGTTACCAAGTATGATATTGCGAATAAACATATGACGTGAAGGACATACAATATCATTATCATGTTTAGATCAATATTTATTATTGTGTGTGTGTATGTGTGTGTAATTTTATTGGTATGATCGCGATACACAGATTTTCCAGGCTTACGCTGTGAAACAACTAATATTTAATTTGCTAAAATTAAGAAAACAAGTGTCTATGCTTTTTTTATTTTGAAGAAAAGACAAGAAAAAATCAATTAAGATAATTTAAAGGACTCTATCCCGATATTATTCTGAAAGTTTCTCTTTTTAGGACGAACCCCTTATTAATTATATGGAATATATGTAGTGGAGATTACAGAACATGAGTACACTTAAAAGTAATCTTAATTTATATTTATGAAAGTAAATCGCTCACTTCCCGCTTGTGAAAGAGTGAAATTTTGGCATTAGAGATTTGTTAGAGAGTGAGTGGAATCTTAATACTCACTTAAGACTTAAACTTCGAGTATTAAAAAAGAAACATCCGACTTTTTCCACTTTTCAATACACATCAAGCTCTTGAGGAGCGATATGAAATAGACTGAACATAGGTCTGAACATAGGTTGAGGGCGCGAAACAGCCGCATAGCAAGACACAGAGCCGTCATCCGAGACGCCCCTTGTAAATCCATGGTAATTACTGCGCCGTGTAATCTTGAATAATCGCGCGACGTTGTCGATAATCTCATGGCGGAGCTAACGAGATTTTCATGGGACATTAGGCGTCGGTGCGGAAGTGTCAATATCGTGGCAGCCACAATTTCGCAGACGTCTGCGCGGTCTCGTAACAGTTCCACGACTCGATCCACAATTTATCGCCCCCCCCTTTCGCCGCCGCTTCCCCCGCGCCAACTCCTCACTCGTAATACACTTGCGCATGCACTTACTAAGTTCGGAGACAGGATTTGCATGCATCGGCAGGGAACCGCGACAAGTCGTGCACGCGCTCGTATACACATCATCCACACAAACAGAACGCGCAACATCCACGGACGTATGTACGCACGCACGCATGCACGCGCGCTCACGCTCGTGTTATCGCACGTACAGTGTGTGTGTGTGTGTGTGTGTGTGTGTGTGTGTGTGTGTGCGTGTGTAATGTGCATCTGTGCGCACGTGTCGCGCTCGGTTGCGTAACGCGTGGAGGAAGGACGGGAGAAAACGGCCACGGCAGCGAAAGGGAGGAAAGGGAAATGCGAGAGATATCGAGTAAACGACGACTGCGGCCGAAGGATGCTGCGCGTCGCGTGCGCTTCGTATGCACATGTAAGGTGCATCTAGGCGTCTCTCTCTCTTTTTCTCTCTCTCCTTCCCTCCTTTTTTTCTTTCTTTCTCCCCCTTTCGTCGTAATATCACGGAGCTCTCGAGCCGCACGAAGGAGCACGACGAACGGAAAATTGAAATAGTTACGAAATATGGCCGCGACGTAAGTACACGCGGAGCGTGGACGCCGGTGGAATTTTTCGGAGCCCCTATTGCGCGATATCTAAGGCTTCCTTTTACCGCGATTATCCTCAGCACATCGGGGCAGACATTATGCAAGTTTTGGGTGATGTCAGCGGCAGGTGGTTCGGGGAAACTTTTGGGTAACGAAACGGTGCACTTGCCGATCGTCCGGCTCGTTTCTGCGCCGTTCGCTGGAGAACCGGCAGTTGCGAGATTTTAAGCGGGGAATTACAGTGTAACTCTTTGGTCCTTTTCCCCGTTGTGCTGCGCGACTCTGAGAGATAATTTGATTTTTTCGCGACGTAGTTGAGGTGAAAAATCGCGCGCGATAACGAGCAATGACGTTAAGTCCTCCCGAAGCGAGCTTCCGGTTGAGTAAAAGGTTGTCATTAACTGAGAGACGGCTCGAAACGATGGCAATAGATGGCATTTCCTTATTCGTTCCGGGGACCAACATCCTCCTCATTTAATAACGTTTCGCGATCGATCCTCTTATTCGTTCAGTCGCTTCGTGCCCCGCGCTTCGAGTCGCTTTAGCAGGGAAAGCACGTTCGAGTACACAGCCATTAAGACTCTCGCGAGGAAGAGAATTCGCGACGAACGGTTTATCATGCTTCCGGTTGCTACCCGAACGGCTTGCGAGTCTTTGAAAGGACTTCCGATCGATACACAGAGACACACTTCTGCCGTTTCAGTATTTACAGTACGCTTCCGGGTACACGGAATTTCTACGATCGCGCTCGCGCGCTTTCTTGCACAGTCAGATTCCGCGCGAATAATTTCAAAAAATTCAGGCGAACAAGTAGCAACATTTTCCAACGAATTGGTCTTACAGTTTTGATTGGGTACGATTGAAATAAGGATTGCTTACGTCCTTGCACTTTTCTTAATTTTCACACAATCATACACACTTGTAAGTATCAAAATTCTCCTGCAGCTAAATTTTTGAATGTCAAACGCTCGAGTTTAAGAGCCTGTATTAATGGTCATTATATGAAACTTGTCTCAAGTGAGATACTCCGATCTGAGATTAGACTTGAATGTGGAATCGCAATTGCAAATAGAATGTCACACATGTATCATGTAATTTAACTGAAAGAAACTCAGATCCAACTCTAAATTCAGATCAGTATATCTCACGTGAGACTAGTTCCAAGTAACGGCTATTAATACGGATCTAGATCGTCCGATTCGTTATTAGGAGAATGAATATTAAGAGTGCACTAAAACTGATTCGTAAGTGTGCAACTTACCATTTTCAGTTAAATGATATTATTTATTTATGTCGCCATCGATTAACATATAAAATAAATTAAGAAAAAGGATCTATTTAATTACTAGATATATATAAATTTTTTTTTTAATACTGTATTGTATTAAATGATATCCTAACTTGTGTAGAGTAGAATGGATTTATTGTACTGTAATATTCGTGCATTGGCTCTTATTGGTCCTTACATCCTCAATTAAAAAGAAATCCCGATTAGAAAGAAAAAGACACCCTGAATACGAGAGTGGTAGATTTGAAATGATCATTTGCGACACGTCCGGCCAGCAATCGCATTAACTTTGAGTCGCACTGAAGGCATCTAATCGCGAGGAGAAGCGCGACTGATCCGAGACACGTCGCCGCGCATTTCCGCAAAGCGGAACAAGTGACCGGATTTTTTTTCTCCCTGTTTTTTACATTGTGCCGCTTCGTTACTCTTCACCCTGCTCGCCGGGTTGCTCCCTTTGCAGTGTTATCCGAGTAAATGCATCCTTTAAGAACGGCGTTATTATAGCTCCCTTCTCTCGGGAGACGTGCCGCTCGAATAAGGAGGACCTCTTTGCTCGAGAGAGCCACCGCCTTTCTTTTGTACCGGCCACTCGAAGAACTTGATTCTTCCACTGTATCTCTCTCTCTCTCTCTCTCCCCCTCCCTCCCCCTCCTTCTCTTTCCCTCCTCTTCTCTGCCGCCATCCAGCACTCTCGAAGAGAGGATATCCAGATCTTAAAACCCGGCCATTAATTCCGCTTGCGTAATTTCGCTCTCCTCGGATATTCCATCGGCGTTCACCTGAGAGCTGCGAATCGAACCATTTAACAACGTCGAACGATGTCCATTAACGTTAGTCACCGAAATTCCGAATTGCTGCCTCGCTGCGCTCTCGCGACGTGGTTAAAAGCCGCACAGTAGCCTGATCCAACTTTAAGTCTCCCAGTCGGAAGGTGTAATCGCAAAACCGCAAAACAATCGAGTCCGGTTTCTATAATACAAAAGAAAAAGCCGTCCGTTGCGAAATATTTGTTGGCTCCGACGGGCAACGCGAGGTCGTATCGCAAATATCACAACTCGACTCGGGGAGACGGTGAAATTGGTGGTTGTGTACGTGGTCGATGCGGGCTATATACGAACTATCGCTTGTCGGCGAGTGCGCGCAAGTGTAGGTGAGCCGTGCTTGCGAGTACGTGGCTCGGGGGATACACGCGCTCGAGACTCACGGACCATTTCCCGTGAAGCCGTGCCTGGGTTACACACGTACCGCCCCCGTGCCATCCTCGATCTCCTTCTTCGACTTCGCAACACGTCCTCCGCGAGAACACCGTGAGGCCGCGTTCGTCCCCGTGAGGTATCGCTGAAAATAGCGCATTCGCGGGGTGTTTTTGCCCGATCGAGCGCTGAACTTTGGCAAGAATGTCACATGTGACACATATACCTCGATTTGTATGTACCACTATTGTTACTGTTATATATTGTTATGGTTCTATGTATATATTAGAGATATATGTCTCGCTCCCGTTATATTCGCGACACGTCGTGCGCAATTGACAGCTCGGCTGCCCTCTCCGGACAGTTCATTCTCTTTGTCGTGGGCAATTCTCTTTATCGGAGAGAAAATGTTCGCTACCGATAAACAAAGGTTCGCGTCTTGTTATGTGTAGTGTCCGTGTCCCCCCCCCCCCC